TGCGACCACCGCCAGGGTATTATTTCCGGCTTCTGGTTGGTCACATTCGAGTTTCTGAAGACGCCCTGGAACACGCCCAACCAGCTTTCGGCCAATGGCGCCTCCTCATTTGTCTCCTATACTTCCCAACGAATGGCCAAACTCTCTACATATACGGCTCTGTATATATATATATATATATATATATATATATATGCAATTCTTTTTTGTGCATAAAAAAACAGAAGCAGGTTTTTTTCACGTGTATTTCATTTTTTTATTTTTTCGTAAACATGAAAACACAGAAATTATTACACTGATTTATATAGCACAATATTCCACCCTTTGAAATAAATCTTAAAAAAAAAAACATGAAGGGGTTAATAAGGCGGTGCATTTGTTTGCAAATGTTAAAACTGCCAACTTGATTAAAAGTTACATACAAGGACGACACTTTTTGCTAACCAAAAATTAGCTTTCTTTTTTTTGCTGCCGTTGAAAAAAAGGACCATTCTACTCAAACATGTCTTATCAAAGAAAAAAAAAACGCCAAGGAAGAAAAGCTGAAATCAGTCTTATCCCAAGCTCTAGTCCTGCTCAGCCAAATGCCAAAAGTATAAACGGTAAAGTTAAGACACGGCGTTGTTTTTTAAGCACTTCTTGTTTATAAATGCGTCCGCCGAAAAATGAGCTAAACAGATAGCGCTGTTTTATTCTCTTGTGATCTTTTAGCAGATTGGTGTACGATGCCCACCTCTCGTGCCTTAAATTAATATTAATAACGTATACTAAGAATTTACGTTCACCAGACTTCGCAGTAGCAAAGTGAAAAACGTCCGAACTGAAACCATACCTGTGATCTGCTGCGAACGGCATCAGAGAAACATTTGGCGTCTTATTAGAATTGCCGCACCATCTCGCAGATCAGTACTTTCCAGGCAAGATTCACACTTCGTCTGTGACCAGACGCGACACCGCGACTTTCTTCACACAAACCAAAACTAGCCGACCGACACTGCCGACCCGTCTCTGCCGTCACCGTAAAACCAGTAGAACTCCGGCGAGTTCGGCGCATCCAAAACTGACGAGTCAGTGACCGTTGCTCCCTGCCGAGCCGTCGGGTTTTGCTGTCACCGCCGTCACCGTACAAAAAGCACAACACCGGCGAGTCCAGCGTATCCAAAACCGACGAAACAATGACCGTTGCTCCCTGCCGACCCGTCTTTGCGTCACCGTACAACCAGCAGCGCCGCAGCGCTCCTTCGAGTCCGGCGCATTCAAAACTGACGAGACAATGACCGTTGCTCCCCACGCGACAACAAAACGCCACAGCGCCACCGAGGCCACGGCGTTTGTAGGGGTGTTGTTCCCATAATCATATGCACGACGGTGCTGGCCTCTACGGTATTTCTCCGAACGCCGGGAGCTGCGTTCGCCTGGTCTCGGCCTCGTGGCTCGTTTCATTAGGGCTAGTTTCATTGTGTCGTGTTGTGCTGGAAGCTAGTCGGCCGATCATCGGTGTGCGTTTCCTCTCGACCTGTGACCTGTGTCGAAGTCTTCTGGAACATTTGGCTGCGAAGAGACGGCTTGTTTGCGTAAGTATAATGTCCTCTAATGTCCTAATAGCGGTGTACAACGTTGATATCGGAGATGCTGTTCCGGACACGACGGCGCTCGTCCGATAGGACTTTTGCTTTTAATGGATCATCACCGATTACCAATCTCTAATCTTCGCGTTTGCATTACAACACACTTCTGTTTTCATCAGTGCTGTCCCGGGTGAGATGGACTGCGGCCGAGACATGTTTCGAGGAACAAGTAGTATTGACCTCGAATCGTCGGTCCGAGCAATGGACGGAGTTAGAGGACCGGTTTTGTTCGATTTGGTTCAACTAATTCTAGCAGGTACAAAACGAGCTTCCTTTAGGAACCTTGACGGGCTCCGGTTAGTTCATATCGGAGAACCCCCCCCCCCCCCTCCCTCCCCTCCCCTCCCCCCTAGCCCCTAGCCCCGCGGCATCTCCAGTAATCTCGGGGGCGGCCTGGCAACCAGCGTGGAGGCGGTGGATGTCGGATTTGTAGCGTCTGCTTATCATTCTTTTGCCTTGTATTGCCTCAGCCGCTACGGATACAGCTTGAAATGTGGAATTTCAGAACTAAAGCACTTCTTTGCGGTGCACATACATTGTTGGTAAATCTCCAGGAGGCTAAGCTAAAACACGGGCCGGCTCACTCGAAGCAGCGTCTCATTAAATACTGTTAAGAAAGCGCTGTCAAAGGTAGCGCTCAAAAAATAAATCGCGCATCACGCGCTCCAACCTTGACAGTGCTTTTTTAAGTCTGTCTCAGCTGAGACTGTATTCGATCAAGTCGGCCCTGGGCAGCGGTCTTTCCGCGCGCTTTAGTTTACTCTATCGAGCTGTTTCCACAACAAAGGAGGACCTTTATTCTGCGAAAGCTCACTGGAGCAGCAGACATTGTCATTATGATGCCTTCGACAACGAGAACTGACTTAAGCGCTGTGAGGCGTCCGGCCGAAAATTCGGAAGATCCAACAGGAATGAAAACGCACTCGTGGGGTATCAATCAACTTACCTTGCGGAGGCGGCTTCATTTTGTCACCACGAGTAAGGCCTAGTTCCACTTGTCTCGAAGTGCTTTAATTCACGTGTTTTATTTACATGACAAACGCTCCGAAAAATAAAACAATATATGCAACACAACAGTGCCTCGACCCATCGGTTGCGACACACGACGTCTATCGGGAAATGGGAGCATATTCGGAAGCGACATATATCAACTTTGAAGTTTCATCAGCAAAGGGTGTACGCACTCACCGAGGAAACGAAACACCAGTGGGCGAATGTCTGCTCGGACCGATTATTGCAATTTCCTACACTACACACTCCGGTCGTGGTTAGGAAATTCCAGAGACAATGCGTCCACAAAATCAAGCGCGACCGCCGCGATCGCGAACACTCTGCCAGGTTATTCTTCGATAGAGACTACACCTTTAATGTCGTTCTCCGTCGTCAAAACTGTTGCTCAAGCGGTGTTCTGCGTTATCACGCGGATTTCACGCTTTGGTGGTTCGCAGACTCTGCATGTCGACGATCTCGGGCATCGCCGCGCATCTTCTCCGTCGGTTTCGTCCGTCATGCTTAAAGCAGCTTAAAGTTAAACGCCAAAACAACAGGGACATGAGGATAGATGCAAACGGGACGAGGCGCCTCGTCCTGTCTGCATCTATCCTTGTACCCCTGTTGTTTTGGCACAAACAACCAACTAGCCTAACTCGCCGTCTAAATTCCGCCAATCAGTTCGTAAATTCTACCGAACGAGGTATAATTTTATAGTATACCGCCAACCACACCACTTCCGGGCCGACTTTTTTTTATGACTAGGCTTCAAAAAAATCACGTGGTGCCATCCCCCTGCGAATATCGGTACGCCCGACGAAGGAATACCAAGTGTGGTACGAGGTGTTTTGACGCGAACTATTCGCGTAGTGCATGCGAGCAGAAATCGTTGTTAACTCCGGAGGTTGTTTCGTTCCACTGATCGGTTTTTACTCATAAATAGCGCTTCCTTGCCTAGCCCAACGAGGTGAGGGGCTTAAAGTGCTTAACCGGAAGTCCAAAAATGACCCCCCCGTAGGCGCTACCACCTTGACCATGTCCGCCGCCAGTCACGTGACTTTTTAGCAAAAGTGACGATACAGAAAGAATATCTGCTGTCCGAGTTACCCAAAGCGTCGGTTTTAGGCAAAGAAAGGTTTACTAGGGGGCTACTGAGGAACAGACGCCTAAATCACTTAATCAAAAGTGACTATAGCACCCTCTACTTTGAAGGCAGTACATCGTTATTTAACTTTCGGCGAATCGACTTGGGCACTTTCGCCTCAATCTCTTTCAGCTGAAGTTCTCCTTGCTAAAAAAGACGCTTTGAATAGTTCAAAGCGCAGCAGTCTCGTGCGTCTTCGTCTTTTTAGCAGAAAAAGTCACTTGACTGACGATGGAAATGGCCAAGATGGCAGCGCCCGAGGGGGGGTCATTTCTGGGTGTGCAATGCAATGCCTGTTGAGCTCTCTAAGCCCCTCTACCTCGTTGGCCTAGCCCTTAATTGAAAGACTACAGCCGATTGCAAGCTTCCATTTACAAATTTGGTACTGGAAGTGCTTATATACGTCCGGCGCGATGGCCGCGCCGTCTTCCGCATAGTTTCGAATTTGAATCAGCAGTGTTCGCCACGGCGTCTGGCGAGGCTTTCGGAACTGAACCGCCGTGGGATTGCAATATTCGGCGTCCATAGTTGTCCGCCGACCGTCGACACTGCAATTGCTTACAGCACGGTTATACGCTCACAACTTGCCTACGGTGAAACAAAAGCGGTGGCTCGGACAGGTAGGTAATCGCGCTGAACCCCGAATGCCGCGGTAGTGTGATGGGCATACAGTGGTCGCCCTCTCGCTATCGCAGGTCGAGCTTGGGGCCCCGATGCCAGCATAGGCTAAACTGACTGCAGCAGCATTCAGTCTGCTGCGCGTATACCCACCTCACCGAGGCCCCCCCCCCCCCCCCCTACCCCCCGTCTCAGTAGGGAAAACTCACTATCGCACTAGTCTTGCACTAGTCGCTAGTGCAGTCGTTCCAACTTGCATCTCCTGCCACTCCGAGAGAGTTAAGATATGATAGAAAGGTTCCATAGATTTCACGGAAAGTGCTGCATCAGCTAAAACAATTGCTCACACAGCCTAGAAAGAAAAGGATAGCTAGTTGTGTTCTTACTCTTCGATCTACAGTTTGCGTGAAAGAAAACATTGAGACACGTTCTGTAATTTGGAAACTTCCATGAAGATTTTGGACACTGAGAGTGCTTCTGTTAGTAATAATATGTGTCACCAATATTTTTTCCCATTTTCTGTGATACTAATGGTTAGAGCTTGAACAAAATGACGATTTTGTTGTCCCTGCAGAATGGCAAAGCAGTATGCGGTGGTGAATTTCACCGAGGAAGACCATGTGTCCGCTGTGCCAATTTCTTGGTTGGTGGTTGACAAGTGGAGTTGCCTGTGGCCAAAAGATTTCGCCGGATCCCGCCTCCTGGATGCAATTAGGGACAAGATTGATCCTGGCGCAAACTGGAATCGATACCCGGTTAGGGTACTGACACGATGCAGTAAGCTTGCGCTCTCCTTCTCTGTATGCACTTCTGACTGAAACACTGAGAAAACAGAAAACACTTGGAAAAAAATATTGTGGAAGAGACCATAAGAATGGAAAGCATGACCTCTTTAGTGAGAGATTTATGCGAGTTCAATTTCTGTTGTCCGGTTGTAAAGCTGGGTGGCACCTTTGCCTGACAATTTTGATATTTGCATATATGAAACCTTTCTTCTACTTTCTCCTGTTTGTAATGAAGCCCATAGTAGTTCTTTCTGTTTTTTAATTGGAATAAAGTATTCCTAATAGCTTGACACGTTCCATAAATGTTCATTGTTACGTAGGTCTACTAATCAGATTACAGTTCAAAATGATTAATATTAGAAGTTTTTGCTCCACATAACAGTGCAGCATATTGTGTCAGTCTGTTTGCAGGGGTGGAACGGCTGCGCCATTTGCGCCATTTTGCGCCAGACGCATTTGTCTGCGCCATCCTGCGCCATGTTTCGGAAACTGCGCCACAGTCAATACCTCGCGCCATTATGCACCAAATTGGAAAGCGTGCGCCAAAAAAATTGTATTTTGTCTTGGTTTCGGTTTCTATCGACTCGATTGGCAACAATGATCGCGTTTAGCGTGGTCGGCCTTGCAATCCTTTTTTTCTCTTTATTCTCCCTGTGTATCCCGAGTAGGAAGTGTGCGAAAAAAACTCGGGGTTCGGATTCCAAGCGCTACACCACCTGCCTCTGGATTGTTATTCTTCAACCATAAGCGGTTAAACAAGTCGGTCGAGGTAAGGTCGAGTCGTTAAGCGTCAGATTGCCTGAGGCTCCGAAGCCCGGGATCCGGACGTCAGTCAGTTGAAAACAAAGGAGCAAAAGATTCCTTTGAGCACTTCATCGTTAGAAGTTGGAACCGCATTCCTGCAAGATAAATCGTGATTTGATAAATCTGAAACGCAGTCCGATCCGAAACCTTGCCGGCCAGCAGCTCTCACGCGAGCGGTAGATCTGCTCGGCATACGTTAACCTTGCTCCTGCTTATCGCTTCGAATACGATAACTCCGTTAATCGTAGTCTGCTGCTTCGATATTGAGTTGCACAATAGGATAAACTCGAATTTTGTTGCGATATTGAGTTGCGCAATATGAGAAACTCGAAATTTGTTTCCCTGTTCTTCCGCGCAACTGCACGTTCGTTGCTTACGCACGTCACGTGGTTCGCACATAAAATCACTCTGTCGAGGACGTGCGGACTGTGCGATAAGCGGTGCTGGTTTGCATTTTGAGCAGCTGAAAGCCACTCAGAAATTACCAAGGCTCACAAAGTTCCAAGTTTTCGCATCTGTTACACTGTTATCCCATCTGCCTAGGTCCCTAACCGCTCATGTTTATCTGGGCTGCTAAGCACAACTGAAATTGCCCCCGTGCTTGTCTAAGACAGAAGCTGGAGTGCAATGAAAACTGATCTGAGCTGCTCCTAGCCTGCTCCAGAGTGTAGTTTTAGCTGCTCCCAACCTGCTCCAAAACAGCTGTTTTAGCTGCTCCCGTGGCTGCTCCCAAGCACATTTCATGAGTTCCACCCCTGGTTTGGCTTAGCACGCTAGCCTAATATTCATTCTGAGAAAGAAGAAACATGAGGCATACCTTACTTAGCATCGTCTGTTTCATGTAAAAAAGCTAATGTCATTGTCATGTAGCTTTAGTTCCTTTTGCAATTAGCACCTGTTTACAAGAGGTTACAAATTTATATTAACATGAACTAGCTGAAACTTAAGGATCATGCGAAATGTTGGAGACATAGTTGTACAACTAATTTATGTTTTAGGTGTATGGTCTAATTCATGCCTAAAGGGAACAGCACGTCTGTGGCTCGTGGTATGCGCAGCGCTGCCTGCGGGAGGCAGGGAAGTTTTGGCACAGGCACAGACAATGCGCAGAGGTGCTGGTGTCTCTGTATCATTTCCCACTGCACTGCGCACTGCTGCGACGGTTATGACTGATGTTGCTGCCAAAGGGGAGAGAGGGACACCGTAAAACAGTGTTTAAGGCCTTCTTCCTTCTCTCTTTTTTCGGAAAAGGACACTTGAAAAATTTTTAACCTTCAGGAACCCGCAGGGCAAGCAGCACTCTGTGTCATGGCAGGCATTGCGATGCCAGAAGTGCTCCCCCGCATTGCCTGTCCCTGTGCTGAAGGTTGGCTGGCTCCCATTGGTGGCGCTCTGCAAAGAGTGCGCCACTGGCACATTGTTCCCTTTAAGCCTGAAGCAGACTGTACTATCTTGATTCGAGTCAGCGGGAACACGGGAGTGCGTGGCATGATACTACCAGATCAGCCTAGCGGCGCGGAGCGGAAGTTTCAGTGCACGCGCATCGCGCCCGCTGAGGCAATATGGTCTCATCGTGCGCATCGCATCATTGGAGCGCTCGTGCGTCGTCTGCTACGCACAGTGCGTGCTACGCGCGTTGTCTGCTGTGGGTAGCGTGTCGTGTGAAGGCATTGGAGATAACTGCGTGTAGTTGAAATTGTCAGCCCATAACCATGCGATAAGCTTGCAAATATTTTGATGCGTAATACAGTGTCACACCCTTTTTAGTTTTCTCAACATTATTGAGAACATGTGGGCCGAATGAGGGCGGCCTAGGCCACGGGTTTCTATTTATTTGGCCATGGAAGACTAGCTTTGGAACACATTCCTAGCAGAATGGGAACGCTTGAGAGTGGACGCGTTTTTGGGTCTAGTCTCTAAGACTGCCTGCCATCAAAGATGGCAGCTGTTGTCCACAAAATGGAAATAGAAGCAGTTCATGAGGCTGCTTCAATTGATGTGAGCTTTTTCAACGGCAGGTAGCAGCTTATAAATGTTAAGATTAAGTTTTGATTGAGCAATAAAGCTTGCTGCTGCTGACCTCTGACAGGCACACTCCTGACGGAACCTCGTCATTACTGCAATCGGCTGCAGCAAGCACTTCTGTCGTCTTATGGGCAAATAACTAAGGCGTCTGAACTCAACAGTCAGCGGCGCAGATCGAACTATAATGGACCAAAAAGGCAATAACGGTAAGGAAAACAACAACGCGGAGCTATGAGCGTTGTTACCAAAGTCAGGGTTACATTAATAGGCAGACACACTAGCCGACAATTAGTCTACGATCCCGGCCCTCGTCACAGAGATTTCACAGGAAGCGGGTTCAGCAAATCTGGCGTGATTGATATAAGAAAAACCCACAATTTTTATTTGTTTTAACAAATATTTAGGAACAGATGAGCACATTGGCGGAGCTTGTAATGTAGGGTTCGCCACCTGTTGGATAGACTGAATTTCTTGCTATCACCAGTAGCGTGCGCGTAGCGGGCGACACGTGTGTCAGACGACACACATAGCAGACTACGTGCGTAGCAGACGACAGACGAGCGCCGCGATGACATGATGCGCGCGATGAGGAGGTAATCTCACCGCCCGCGTAACACGCATGCCCAGCAGTTGCGCGCTTGACCGGTAGAGCGCTCTGATAGGGTACGATGCCATGCGCTCCCGTGTTCCCGCTAACTCGGATCAAGATAGTACATAGTTTTTTCTTCCCCTCCAAAAATGTAATTCTTTGCCTTAAATTTTTGTGGAATAACTATAACAAGAAAGCTAGATATAAATTTACAAAATGAGTGCATGAGCTTCCATTGCATTGTTGTGAATAAGCTGAAAATTTGTAAAAGCTTGATTTTAGTTCTGCGGAACAAGAGTTCTCACAATCAAATATTTCTATGAATGAGCTTGGGGAAAACATGTGCTAATTTGCTTAATCGCTAACAATACAGGCCTTTTCTGTAGGGCATGCCTTTATTGTGTTCTAAAAGTATTTCTGGTGAGGTTCTTTGAATTCATTTCTTAGAAACCTACAAGAAGGCCCTCAAGAAATCTCGGCTAGCCGAAGAAACATCAACACTTGAAACGTCGGAGTTTTCAGGTGTGTATTAATTTGCAAATGTCTTGGAAAATTGTTTTGAAGCAGAGAAACATATATTTAATGCAAGGGCATCTTTGCTTGTTGAAATTCCAGCCCCGGAGGCCGAAACTCCTGAGGATGTCTTCACAACCTATGACGATGCGCCATCGCACCGTCTGGCCTTGCCCTCTCCACGTAAGTTGAATAAATATTGGTAATGTAGGCACATACACTAACTTCGGTCTCCTTTAAGGTATCTAAACTTATCTAAACATCATTGCATTTCTGAGCTAGCCTTGTAGACAGCCAGCCATATGGCTAGGAATTGCTGGAATAAAGCAAGCCAGCCAGTGAGGGTCTTAATGCATTGACTTCAGATGCAGTTAAACACTTGAGCTGTGGTTGACGTGGGTGACTTGTTGCAAACTGCAAGCCAATGTTAAAGTGCAGCAAATTTCATGGCTCACCAACATCTAAGGCTCTTATGTGCAAGACATAATTCTTATATGTGCCATGCAGGTGCTGTGGAATTACTTATTAAACGCTATGATATAACTGAAAGCAATTTGCAGTTGAAAACTTGCTTAGGGTGAATTTCTGCATATGTATATATGCTTCATAGGAAATAGAAAAATTTAAAACCATTTGAAATGTGGGCATATGCACAGGTGTGTGATATATTTGGTAGATTACATGTCACCATAGAAATATTAGTTTCATTTCATGTGCATATGTTTTTATCTATTGCTTCACATTCTCATGCTTCTCTGTGGATCTCGTCTTTCGGTTACAAATGAGGCAGTCACCGGGTTTAGTTGCAACGGTTTGGTGACTTTGCCTTCAGGCCTCACCCCGAGCCACTTGTTTCAGCCAAGTCTGAAACAAAGACTAACTAGACCTGCTGTTGGACTAGCTGGTTAGAGTCACCTGAACAGATCACAGCACTAGAAAGGACAGATACAGAGACACACCACAACAGGATGAGTGCTACACAGTCATCTGGTTTATTTGCCATGAGAATTAGGCAAACAGTGTAAGCAGTGTAAGTGCAACATGCAACAAGAGAAATACAGAATCATACGTCAGAGTGCCAACAACATAGACAAAAGAATAGAAGGAGGCCATCCCAATTTGACATGAGTCAATGAAAAAGGCTCCACCATGTGGCATACATTTACTTTTTATATAATCTGCTTCCAAAAGTTTGTGTCGTGGTACCTTTGCTTGTTCCAAGGATCCTAACCTTCTGTTGGAGTGGCTCATGTGTGCAAGTGAGACAGTAAAAAGGCAGGTGCGTGCTTTTATTTGTAATAGATGGCTTAGGTCTCCACGCTCATTGACATGATGGCCTGTATGACCCTTACAGGCCTCCCCCCAAAGAGGGCCTGGCATATTTTTTCTGGCAGCCAGAGCTCCTGTCAGAGGCACGATGTGTAGAGGAACAGATGCCCGCAAGTTTTCGTAGCACAGAAAGCTCCTTGAGCACCCTATACCTTCTTAACGTTGTGCACACCCTCGTGAAAGCACGGCACAGCTTCGGGCATCTGTCTCTTATGTTCAGTGTTAATTCAACCTCTTGAAGTGCCCTTAGATTTTTTTAATTTTTAGAGATGCCATTGTGTCAATGTGCGAGGAAACCTAAGCTGTCTATTACAAATAAAGGAAGCACGCACATATCTTTTTACTTTCTCACTTGTGCATGTGAGCCGCTCCTACACAAGCTCAGAATCTTTGGCACGAGCAAAGGTACCATGACACAAACTTTTGGAAGCACATTATATAAAAAGTAAAGATACTGCATGTGCTAGTGGCTATTCCATTGTCTCGTATCAAAATGAGGTAGCCTTCTTTGATTCTTTTGTTTACAGTGTTGGCACTCAAACATACAGGTATGTATTTTTCTTGTTGCATATTTGCTGTGCTTATGCCGGTCCTCATTATTTGTTTAAGATCGAAAACTGCGCAAAAAAGACGGGACACAAGAAAGGAACGAGCAACACAACACAGGTGCAGACTTACAACTGAATTTTTAATCTTTCACTTCCTTTAACGAAGGAATGCAATGTGCACGTGGGCCGCTGAGATGCGCTATCACTGGCTCGAATGGGCACGCTGAGGGCAGAAAACCTAAGGACGGTGGCAAGCGCAAGCGGGATAGGGATAGCGAGGAAACTGAGGACGATGGCGAGCGAGCGACTTGTCGAAGCCCTACAAGAAGGCCTGTGTGGTGTGAATGGTGGATTCGCCGTAGATATTGAGGAGCTGTTTTATTTGATACCCCATGATGAACTCTTTGTCGCGGTGAGGAACTGCATCGAAACCTCCGGAACGGTTCAGTTCCAGAATGCCTGTGGTGTGTCAGTAGATGGATTCTTAGAACTTTTGTCCATTTATCTATCATCCACCATTGTGGGCTTCGAAGTAAAGTTTGTAGTTCAGAGGCAAGGCATCTGCATAGGTTCGAGTGTGGCACCAGTGTTATGCAAAATCTTTTTGGCTGCTTTTGACCGTTTGTTAGTGCAAGCACTCGCTGACGACAAACGGGTCCGAGTCTTCAGATATGTGGATGACTTTTTAGTCCTTTTAATTAAAAGTTAACTCCTGGCGTTCTTCTTGAAGATGCCACCAACGGGATTTTAGAAACTTCGTGCCACCTCCACAACCTTAACATTTACAACCGAGCTTCCACTGCGGGAATCTTTGCAATTCCTTGACATAACATTGTCATTCCAGCTAGACCACCTCTGCTGGGAGTACGCACCCCGCTCAAAAAAAGCCCTCCTGCCTTTTGATTCAAGCTATTCCAAAATAGTTAAGAGAGGCATAGTGAGGACATGCCTGAAATCATCACTTGAGAAATCTTGTGCTCACACAGTTCAGAGTAGCTTTGATTCACAGGCCCAACGTTTGTTGAGAGCAGGATTTCCACCTTCCATCATAAGGGCGGTAGCAGAGTCTATGTTGAAGGCCTTGCGTATGCGGGCTAAGGAAACAATGGGTCACTTGGAGGGACCAAAAAAATTTGAGGTCATGCCATATATACACGGGGTTTCTCACAATTTAAAAAGAGTCGCTACTAAGTTCCAAGTAGATGTGGTTTTTTCAGCCCTGTGTAAGCTCTCCCGGGTATGCGCCTTAACCTCAGAGCGGATCGCTCACAAGGATGGTTGCAACACCATGCATTACAACCAGTTCGTGCCTTGCTCAACGGGGGTGGTTTACCACGTCCCGTTATCTTGCGGGAAAGTATATATCGGACAGACGGGTAGATGTCTAAATGATAGACTGAGGGAACACGGAGCCTTTTTGAATTCAGCAAGCGGAGCGCACCTTGCCCTACACTGTAAAGAATGTGGGTGTAAACCAAATTTTGGTGCCACTGAGATAAAAGGTCGCAACAAAGACAAACTCACTAGGGAAATTTCTGAGGCGGCCCAGATTTCCTACAGTGGAAGTGACAAGTGTGTTAGCGCACCATCTATTTCATTATTAGACAGAGAATTAGGTTTTTTGTTTACTTCCCAGTTCCATCGCTCTTCTCTCGCTCGCGCTCGCCATCGTCCTCAGTTTCCTCGCTATCCCGCTCGCGTTCACCACCGTCCTTAGGTTTTCTGCCCTCAGCGTGCCCATTCGAGCCAGTGATAGCGCATCTCAGCGGCCCACATGTACATTGCATTCCTTCGTTAAAGGAAGTGAAAGATTAAAAATTCAGTTGTAAGTCTGCGCCTGTGTTGTGTTGCTCGCTCCTTTCAATTGTGTCCCGTCTTTTTTGCGGTTTTCCATCTTAACCCTTTCAGTACCGTAATAATTTTTCATGTAACACCCTCAAAATCCGGAATTATTTTATTCATGCAACCTGTTCAGCCTAGTCCGTAGAGCACAATCATATAAACAATTTTATCAAAAGCACAGCATAAATGGACAAACAATATTTTTATAAATGTTAAGAAGGGGGCTTCACTGCACGTAATGTGGAAAAAGTGGGCTTCACTGCACATACTCACTTTATTTTATTCATGAATTTACAAAGCAATTCTGTCAACATCAGTACCTAGTGTCTCTGTTCACGAGACTACGGGCTTAGTCAGTCCCAGGACATCCCGTTCAAAAGTTTGCCCTTGTGTGATATGTGCGAAAACACTGTATCGCACACAGGGCGACACCACAGTCTGGGCACCACGTCCTTGTTTCCTTGCGAGCTTTTTTTTCTTGTGCAGACAACGCATCTTCTTGTTGGGCTCTCTTTCTTCTCAGTTGGAGGTAGGTAGTCTGGGAAGTGTCGCTCAGTCAGTCGCGAGAGAGTGTTGTCAGAGAGCCTCCCTTTCTTGGGTCGACTCTGGGGGTCACAGTTCAGTTGAATGAGTCCCTCCACTAACTTGAGCCTGAACTCAAGATGTGTGGTGGTGTTGCCACTCTTCTGGTAGATAATGAACGCATTGTAGATGGCCATGTCTACCAGATGACGGAACACCTTTTTGTAGTATATTTTCTGTCCATTTCTTGCACAGGGGTAATATGAAAGATTTTGGTCACTCTTGTCAACACCACCCATGGTGTTGTTTTAATTCATCACTATCTGTGGCTTGGACGCAACTTCACCTCTCTGGTTTGTTACATCCACCATTGCCACAGAGTGCACCGTGCTGAGGAAGGTTACCACCTTCTTGTCCTTCCACTGAAGTGAGAGGCACTTGCCTTTTTGGTAAGCTTCAGTTTGACCTTTCTCAAGTTGTCTTGTATCGAAGCTCGGCATTCCCTTGCGTCCAGATCGTCCAGATCGTGCTGTCCCGTAGACATCTGTCTTGCGCTCCAGAAGTGCTTCAACTAGTTCGGGTGAGTTGTAATAGTTATCCACGGTTACACAGTAGCCCTTATCGAGAAGGGGACTCATCAGGGACAATACCACACGTGTACCCATGGCCACATCTGCGTCACCAACAACAGCACCTTTCCCATGTACATAAGCATGTTCCAGATGTAACCACTGGAGGACTCGCACAGCACGAAAAACTTGACGCCAAAACGGGCACGTTTCAGTGGCATGTACTGTTTCCAAGACAGCCTGCCTTTGAAACGAAGAAGGCTCTCGTCAACTGACACATCTCGCTCTGGTGTGTAGAGAGTTTGAAACATCTCGGTCATTCTTGTGAGCACGGACCACAATTTTCTAAGCTTTGGGTTCGGGTGCTTGTCGACTGGCGCCTCGTTGTCAGTGAAGTGTAGAAA